CAGCCGAGGGGCAGCCTGGGGAGTTGTGGGTGCGTGGAAAGACCGTGATGAAGGTGAATTGGTTTCGGTTCGCAGAGCTGAGCGTACATTTACAACTTGACAGGGATATCTGAACAACCCCTCGGCGACGAGGAACGCCATCACGCCGGACAAGTGGTTCAAGACAGGCGATGTGGCCATTAGAGACCAAGACGGGTATTTTTATATCGTAGACAGACGCAAGGAGCTCATTAAGTACAAGGTAAGGTTATTGCAATGCTTAATTATGTCCAGCTAACATGAAGACGACACAGGGATTCCAAGGTATGGTCTTGGACAATGGCCTGAGCGATGCTTATCCGGTTTCCAGTACCCCCTGCTGAGCTTGAGAACATCTTGTTAACGCACCCTGATATCGCGGATGCAGCAGTCATCGGATTAGAGAGCATCAAGGAGGCTACAGAGCTGCCGAGGTCGGTTTGAGGTTTCTATGAATCCCGGCCTCCGTCTCATTCCCCGCAGAGCGTATATCGTCCATGCCAATCCGGACAAGGTCAAGACCACCCAGGCTAGACTCGACTTTGCGAACAGCGTTGTCAAGTGGATGGAAACCAAGGTAGCAAGACACAAGTTTTTACGGGGAGGGGTGGGCATTATCGATGTTGTGCCCAAGAGGTATGGACTGCTCACATTAAGCAGCGCATAATTAATCTGCCTCTGCAGCGCTGCCGGGAAGATTCTACGCCGTGAACTTAGGGAGTTGGCCAAACAACAGGCAGAACGAGGAGATTTGGGTACAGAAGTCAAGGCGAGAATGTAATTTATACCCTAAGTACACGACACAGATGTATATGTGCTGCACACGAATGTGAGACGTCGACCTGAAATGTTACTAGTCAGCGCGTGCACTTGCAATCAAAGTACAAGAAGAATATCCGGTCAGAAGTGTCAAGAGTTTGGAGCCCGCCCCACGAAAGGGTATACACCATGAAGAAATTCAAAAGATCCAACGCATCATAGGAAAGAAATGCAAAGAAAGGGAAGCTCACCTTCCTGCACGATAACCAAAACCCTTCGGAAACGTAGAACAGCAAAGTTCGAGGAAGAAAAAAATTGGGATGTCTGCGCCGAATGAGAGCGAGCCCCATTGAGTTGAGGACCCGAGGAGGGTCGACAATCGTATAACTATGTCTATGAGCAACAGATTGCCCGACATTGAGCAAACCACCCGAGCAACAGGATGCTCGTATCTTCGCATCCTGCGCCTTCGCCGAGTGATTCGCCCTCAGAGGGGCACCGGAGCGGCTGAGATGGAGCTGCGACGCGGTATCCCAGGTCGTGCAGTGTCATTCCCGCCGTCCTCGACCAGACCGACGTGCTTGGGGCCGGTTGCTTTCCATTGGATGGACGAGGACATACTCCGTGTCTCCGGGGACTTTCCCCACAGCAGAGGTTGAGAGCAGAAGCTCTCTGTGCGGGAGCTGCGACAACGATTCTTCAGACGGCGCGAGGTAAGGAAGACCCTTAAAAAAAAAGGTCGAATTTATATGTGGCTGAGTTTGCGCGTATTGACCCGGAGCTTGGGCGGAGTTTCAACTCCACAGCAAGCAGACGCGTTCATGTCTACCACCCGATCCCAGACGCAGCAGGCCTCGCGGACGGCAAGTGGTCCCCCCCAGTTCCATTGACGTGCTCATCCTTTCACAGGTCATATTCTCTTCCTTTCCGACGATCAAGGTCATCGAGCCGCCGAAAGGTATGTGTTTCCTGCTACCCGCATCGCGGTTCGATATCGACCGCATCTGCTAGGAAGCTTCTCCACCCGGAACGACCAATGGTGTCTGACCTACTGCTCGCAAAATGTCAGCGGGCGTATTCACAACAAAGCTCCGTGGTGTAGATCAGTGTGCCTGCGCAAGGTCTTTTCTCACGAAGTACGCAACATCCTCCAATTCAAGAGCCACAGAGATGTCGGCCCGGATGGAAAGGCTCGATACCCACTCCCGCAGGAAGGCCAGCCCATAAATCTGCCGCGATATCTCGGTGGGAAGCCGACGGATGACCCTGAGCATGGCAGGAAATCACCGGGCGATATTAAATACTGGGACGAGGGCTGGTATCTGTGGAAGACAACCACATTCCTCGGAGTCTACAACAGCATCTCTCTAATGCCGCGAAACCTAGAGGCGCAGGGCCTAGAAGAGACGCAGAAAAAGGCGAGGCGGCAGCGGTGGATGGAATACCAGGAATTCCTACGGTCGGGCCAAGCACCGACGCAGGAAAATAAATGGTTGGGCCCGGTTGTCCCCCCTAATTTCGGGCGAGATCCAGCGTGCGTTCAGAAATCCACCACCAGTATCCAGGTGCTGACCGTGTTCCTCTTTCAGACCCGACTCGCTTCTAGTGCATATTCCGCTCGAGTCGGGTCCGCTGCTGGAGCCTATCTATAACGTCCTTGCACCTGCCCATCATTCTTGGCAGCTCTTTCACGAGAACTTTAGCGCCGGCCATTACCAAAAGTTTGCCCTGCGCGTTTGGGACAAGGCGTGGACCGGGGAACCTTTCACTCTTGCGAGCCGTGCCTTGGGCTTTGTTTCCGAGCAATGGAAGAACAAAGACTCCAAAGACGAGGATGACAAGGAGAAGGAGGCGTAGGCCATGTCTCGAATTTGTATCATCCGCCATTATTTGTATCATCCGCAATTGTAACTCTATTACTCGCAAAATACCCTACCTCTCTTAGAATTCTTACCATGGATTGTACTTAATGAATGCCAATGTATGCCGCAGACTCTCGCTTTGACTACCCTTGTAACGTGATCAACCTCGGCAGGTTTGTCACCATCGCGTCTTATTTGCCATTTAATGCCGCCATCCACCTTGCGTTCACTCTAGTCTCTTCCAAACAGACGCTATAACAATATCAACTCGTACCTCGTTTGTTATACGTTCGCTCTCACTGCTCTCATCTCCCCGATGTCGACCCCGCTCGAGATAAAAAGCGTCAAGCAATGGAATGAAACCCTGCGGGCGTCCACCGCAGCCGGAATGTCGGTCCTGGTCGATTTCCATGCCCAATGGTGCCAACCGTGCAAGGTACTACTTTATTCGCGCGCGAAAGGCTCGGCCGCTAATTAAACCAGGCCATTGCTCCTAGGTTCAGCATGTTGGCGTCCCAGGCATGAAAACCTTGAAAGCTTCCTGAATCAGCCTAACCTCTACCGGCAGAATCCCCATGTTCGCTTCCTTCGTGTCGATGTAGACCAACAGAAGGCCATTGCCACCAAATATCAGGTCACCGCCATGCCTACTTTTCTTGCGATCAAGGCTGGCAAGGTCGTCGACATGGTCGGTCGCCGAGTAATTTTTTTTTGCCGCTGTCTGACCCTGCGCAGGTACGAGGAGCCGACCCTCAAGGTCTCGCTCGCTTGATTCTCCAGCATGGGGGTCCTAACCCGCCCATCTCACCACTCCCCGAGGAGGCAGAGGCAGCGAAATCTGCTGGAAACGTGTGTTTTACTTCTTGGCCTCCTAACTCGATACTTATTTCTTTGTAGGCCTTCTACAAGGAAGGCCGCTATGCGGAAGCTATCGAAAAATACACCGCGGCTATCTCGCTTGCCCCCACCTCGGCAGCACTATACGGCAACCGCTCCATCGCGTATCTCAAGTCGATACCTCCAGACCTAGACCTTGCCCTTGCCGATGCGCAAAAGGCGACCGAGGTAGAACCTAAATGGGGCAAGGGTTACGCCCGACTGGGGGAAGCGCTGCAGGCCATGGAGAAGGATGAGGAGTGCGCCAAGGCGTTTGAGCAAGCTGTGGAATTATCCCAGGGTCTTGCGAAGACCGAGGCCAAGCAGAAACTGGACGCTGTGAAGAAGAGGCTCGGTTGGCATTAGATTCTGTCTGGTTCTGACATCCGGTGTATCTTTAGGACTAATTGTATTGTAGCTCAAGTCGGGTGCGGTACGCCAAGTCCCCTCTAAATATCAGTGATCAGACAAAACTCTAATCTTGGCTTGTTTCTGATGGCCCAGGTCCGTAAGAGTACTACAGAGTTGAATGAGCCCTGCATAGCTTGGACGGGTCACATCACCCACTAATATCACATTTTACTGCAGACGGAGCGCCTGCGCTCGAAAGGAGCTCTCATGCATTTGGGATACAGCTCCTTTGCCCTCTTGGCTTTCGCGCCGAGAGGACCTTACATCTGTCTTCACCATGCCTCTTTTGCGCCTTCGTTTCGCGGGTCTGCGTCGTGGTTTCACTAGCTCGGCACTCGATCGCCCAGTGGCCGCTGAACCTCGACTTGACGTGTGCCTATCCGTTGGGGTCGAGAGCCCAGCGCTATCACCAGAGTGTCGCAGGGAAAACAGACATTTTCGCACACACCTCTCGCTCATTACGATCGACAGTTGCCGCTTGTCCAAAAACATTGTGCGGTCCTTCAAGAGGAAGGGGAGGTACTCGAGCAGGACATGCAGAAAGGGCCGCAGAAACACTTTCTTTTTCGTCGCCGCACCGGAAGGGGTCGGCCTCCATCCTTTACACTTGGGATATAGCCGTCGCGCCTCGATAGTGCTTGTGGCCGTGTCTCATTTTATATATGTTGAGGTGCTAGCACTTCACAGTCCAGTGTCATTTCAATGAGTGAAGACCCCAAGTTCCGGAGAGCTGATCCGAAGTACCGTGAGCCGTGTACTTTTCCGTCCTCGCCGTCTCCTTTGATCACCCAGAGGTCGTTCAGCCATGGATCAGATTTCAGGTTGGACTGTTCTTCGTCCCCAAGGTCTCCCTGATGTCTTTCCAGCCGGGGAGGAGGTCACTTGTGTGGTATCGCACGGGGACCGTGAGCAGGTTGGAGTCTGCACCCGGCACCACCGAGGCAAGCCTGGGATGAACAGAACAAAGAATTTTGGGGTTGGAACCCACGCCCTCGCATTGTTGCGGCGAGCAAAACAACTAGGAGTGGGGTTCGCACCCACACCCTTCCGCTGTGGCGGGAAAAATGCTCAAATTGACAGCTGTGGGGTTCGAACCCACGCCCTTTCGGACTGGATGGATAAAATCCTAATTCCAGCGCCTTAGACCACTCGGCCAAGCTGCCTACTCATCAGTATGACTCGGGGGCTGGTGTTAACTGCCGACACGAGACATGTCGTCCGCCCTGGGCGATACTCCCCCGGACACCCCGCCGCCCCCCGGACCACACTCGTTACGCGTAGAAGGCCAGAAACTTATCTTTACCCCGCCCGTTGCCGGCCCGGTGCTTGAGAAGCCCACGGACGTAAACACCAACATCACGCTATGCTTGCTTCGCTCGATGCGCTCTCGTGCCCGCCACGTCCCAGTGCTCCCCGATGACTCTGTTATCATCACACCACCCCGCGCGAAGAAACCCAGGAAGAAGGCCCATCCCGCTCTACAACCCCGCCCCATCAGCCCACCCCTCAAATTAGGGTTGAGGAACATGCAACGCATAGCGTGAAGACGCCGGCACCCTCTCTGGATGAAACGACCACCGCCCCATCCCCAGATGTGACTCGGGCATCGGGCACGACTGCTAGCCAGCGTGACACCCCGGGAATGCGAGGGGGGGCTCGCCAGGCGCCTTGTGCAAATGGCGAGCTTCCGCCCCGTGCGGACAGACAAGATGATTTGCCTGCCCCCGTTATCACAGCTGACTGCATGGCTGAATCTGCGGCGGCTAAGCCCACAGGGAAGAAGTGTGCCGTATCCGCGAAGAAAGAGCGTCTCGGGAAACTCAAGGACAAAGCTAGTGACGCGCCCAGTCTCGACGCCCTCGCCGAGGTCCTGCAGGAGACTATCGCAGCGATGCAACTCCTCGGTGGCGCACTGACCAAGCCCCTGTATGAGCTGCTCGAGGAGATCCAAACACGTCTCAGCAACCACCATGAATACCCCGCGCAGATGAGAGCCGCGAGTCCTTCAGCTCCGTCGTCACCCGTGCGGTCTCATCCCCCGTGAAAGCGCTGACAGTCCACGTAGAGGCACAGCAACGCGCTATTCAATCACTCACAAAGACCGTTGAGTCCTTCAAGAATGCGCCGATCCTTGCCGCTCATGCGTGCGGACACGGCTCGTTCGCGAAGGCAGCGGCGGCGTCCCCCTCCCCTCCTAAGCCGAAACCTCTGCCCTTGCCTAACCCGTCGGACGAGCGACTCCTTGTCCATTTCAACGGGCAGGTCCCACCTTTCCTAGCGCTTCCGTACCCTGACATTCTCACAACTTTGAACGAGAGCCTCGGGCGCCTCGGGCTCCCGCTGCTTTTGTACATGCAGAAGCAGTTGGAGTCGGGTATCTTCATTGTCCCGCACAACAAGAATGATCTCAGGGTCCTTACGGAGCGCTGGAAGGATTGGGGGCCGTCCATTCTACCTGGAGGACGTGTCGCACCTGTCGCGACACATTGCTTCCTTCAGGTTGATGGTGTGCCATTCGCGGGGGCCGGAACGCTGGAGGAACTCTGCCGCGAGTTCGAGGAGCGTAACCCGCAACTCGGGCCCATGGCCGGGACTCCGACGTGGGTTAACAAACCCCCCAGCGAGGCGGCGGCGGCGGCGGTGGCTGGAGCGGGTAGAAAGCCCCCTAGGGCGGGCTCCCTCTTCATCCGCTTGCAGTCACGCGACATGGTCGACAAGGCCATTGCGGGCGGACATGTTATCCTTGCTGGCACGGTACCAGCGGTGGGACGCGGTTTCCCGCACCTCCGTGTCGTGCGGTGCAGGGCTGTATGAAGTACGGACACACACATTTGTCACATTATATTTCTCCTTTTGTTTTCTCCCCGCCACGGAGATCTAGTTTAAAAAAAATGCTACTCTGTATGTAAACCTCGAAACCGTGGTTGGGTAGGAGACTGGCTCCGTGGTACTACACCCCCATTCGAAACTTATATTTCTCAAACAATTGTGCCCAACATTCTCACAGTATTTTCGAAGATGTTTTCCAAACATCGTTTTGAGGTCTGAAAAACATTGAGGGAAAAGCATTGGCGAAACCTCAGTGAAAGGTTAAAGTAGCGTGGTTCAAACATGAAATATACCTCGAGCGAGACATTTGCAGCACATTGTGGCTCTGCCAGCCAACTCATGTTATCTATTGATTTGTTATGAATGACGAGCGTAGTACGGCACTAAACCATAAAAAGTTTCCCGAGTCTGAATCGGGACACACCACAACTCTGAGGCCAATTTGAAGCCAAGCCTCAATGAGTTCGAAATTATTATGGGGAATCAGTGAGTCAACAACTCAGTCCAAGCACACATTACATACATAGTGGTAGAAACATGAGTGGCCCTGCACCATTTATCGTTCATCAATATTGCATCAGTGGTCTGTGTGCAGAAGCACATCAAACAACAAACAGGTGTCAACATTGGCATTCCCATCAGCCGTCTTTTCACCTTTCCTCCCATCTTGCCGTCCCTTGTCCTCGCCGTTTTCAAAGCCCCTGCCCCAAGTCTCTCACATCACATTTGCTACTCAATCATCTGGCATCCACCGTGTCTGATATACCCAATCTGCCGCGAAGCTTTCAAGCACTGTCAAGCACTGTGGCACTGGTTGACCGTCGAGCCTCGAAGCCTCCACTCTTGCTCAACAGACTCACCTGAATGGCTTACCCTCAAGGATTGTTATAGCAAGATGAAGATATACCAAGTTTTCAATGCACACATCAAATTGTTCGTGAAGCGCCAGACTCAAGACAAGCTAGCCGTCAACTCTGTCTTGTCTCTCTCATCTCCTCCTCCTCACGGCCTGCTTCCCCTCGGCGAGATTTGGTGCCTCCACCACGCTTGCGCCCCGACTACCAACCCAGTGTCCATGCTGAGAGCGCCGCCCTCCTCAACCGCCCACCGCGCAACGGGTGCCGCCGCACCGTACGCCACCATTACCCGCGCAGAGACGTACCAACCGCCTACTCCCAATCACCAGCAGCAACTGCAAGCTCCCCACCACAAGCAACACCATCTGCACCAGCACTTCCAGCGCAGCACAAGAGCACAAGTACGATGGCGGAATACAACCGGGAGTACCAGACCTTGCCGCACGATGTCAAGTGGAGCTTGACCGCGCTAACTGGCGCGGGGATATTCCTCGGTGCGCCGGCATCCACGCTGGGGCACGCTGTCGCTACATACAGCGTGCGATCCAGGTGCAGTCCGTTAGTTACCCTTCCCCGCTTGGGCTTATGGTTCCGCAGATACCCACCGTCTACGCCGCGAAGCGAGGCACGAGGCCCGCATTCCCGCCCCCACTCCACCGGGACGAGCGCACATGGAACATAGTGTATTGTTAGAATAGCGCCAGTGCAATTCATTATGAATATAAGGTTTTGAACATCCAATAAAAAAGCTGAATATCTGTCCATTGGTTCCTTGGATGCTCAGGCAAACCTTGACCAAATGTTTAGGTGAATGTTTTTTCAACAGCATGTCACCGAAGCCTTGAGGGATTTGACACTTTTTGTTTTCTAAATGTTATCGGCAACGTCATTTGATGCTCAAACGATCACCTCACAACATCAACCCAAAAACATCTCAGCAATCTTTTTTCCAAACGGCGGTGTATGTAGAGTGTTTTGGTATCCCCGTACATACGGTTTTGATGCTGTATGCGGCTGTATTTTCGACGGGTATTACGGTATACGGTACGGCACATACCGTACCATCGGCGAGGTCAAAGGTGTGACAGGACGGTACGGGTGCCTAATTACGGAACCCGTATAACCGTCAATTATGGTACGGGTCAGCAGCGATGGCGAGAACGAATCAGCCATTGCTTCGCGGATCGTCAATTTTCTTGACAAACCCAATTCTCAACAATCTTTGCCTCACCGTCACTCTCGCTCTTTCTCCGCATCGTGTATACAGTGGCGCTCAAATGTTCTGCACACATCAGTTTGAGCCCAATTCTGGGTCAATTTTCTTCAAATAAAATTGTGGCATCAATGTTGAGTGATTTCAAGGTCGTACATGCAATTAAAACCATACCGCACCTGTTTGGATGGCTCAGAATAAAATAATTTGGTGTATTCTGAAAACTCGACTTTGTGGAATCACGTGCTATTGAAAAATAGTCATCCTAGCATGAAAATACTCAGAAAATGAAGGATATTCACATTTTAGTCCATTCAAATCCGTTGGGATTTGAGCTCACAATGCCCATTACAAGTCGGCCATTTTGAGTGAAAATCAGCAAAAAATGGCAAAAATGATCAAAATGGTCAACTTGCGAGGGGCATTGTGAGCACAAATCCCAATGGATTCCAATGAAATAAAATGTGAATATCCTTCATTTTCTGAGTACTTTCATGCTAGGATGACCATTTTTCAATAGCATGTGATCCCGCAAAGTCGAGTTTTCAGAATACACCAAATTATTTTATTCTGAGCCATCCAAACAGGTACAGTATGGTTTTAATCGCACGTAAGACCTTGAAATCACTCAAAATTGATGCCACAATTTTATTTGAAGAAAATCGACCCAGAATTGGGCTCAAACTGACGCGTGCAGAACATTCGAGCGCCACTGTATACCTATCTATATGATCTTATGTTATGCCTTAGCTCCTCACGATAGTACTTCCTTGGTACTACCTTCTTCGTCCAACTTTGAAGACTCGTCGGTGATTGCCGAGGTCACAGGCTCCTTTGATGCGATCGACGTATTTGGTAGTCTAGTAGTTACCGTGGGGGTCGGACCGTGTAAGGAAGTTATTATGTAATATGAAATAAGCAGACTCCGAGTCGCGAAATTCATGTCTCAACGACGCAATATTTTATATATTCACACCTCAGAACTTATAAAGGAAGCCGAATCTATGTTTCTGTCTCCTCGAAATTCTGAATGAGGCACTGTGGCTGTCTCTTTAAAATCGCTGCATTCGTCATGTGACTTATGGCCGTTTCTCGGCCGAAGCCCAATGGAAGACGAATGTTTATCTTCACAGACATAGAAAAATCTTCAGAAAAATCGGCACCACTCGGAAACTTTATTCTGATTATTCTATGTCGTTGTCATTGACCAAATTTATTGAGGAAGGCATACATTCCAATATTTAAAAAGTGTTCACGGCGGGGT